AATCATGATATAAGGATACAGAGAAAGGAATGCAGTAGCAGACTACTTAGAAAATTATGACTTTGAAAATCAACAAACAACAGTTTAAACAGCAGTAGCAGACTACTCATGCCAAAAGATTTGTTAAAATACGAAAATCACAACTATCAGTCATCAGAATTACAACACACAAGGAAAGGTAAGATCAACAATGAAGAATCACAATTCAAGAGTCCCAATTACTTACAATTGACAGTGCAATTGTAGTTTTTTCAATGTCAGGTGTGGAAACTTTTTCATAGTATTTTGTTATCCAGGGTTCAATAAACTATTTCAGATGCCCAACCTGAGAGTACTTGATTGGCAATGTAATCTCAACATGAGTAAGCCTTAGAAATCAAACAAAACCCACAGGCCATAGCATCTTGCACACTTAAAGACATGATGTTGCAGAGATAACCACAAGCCTAGTGTTACCTAGAAGGACTACGATGTGACATACCAAAGGCAATAGCCTCAAAATTCTGTATAACAAGGAAATAGATTTTGAGAAAGACATACCTGACATAATCCCAATGTTCTTCCTCCCAGAAACATGGCCTATAACAGATGCAGAAATGAGGGAAATTTTCAGTATATCTGTGATAGTAGAAGAGAAGAGAGGTTTCCACGGCTCACTACAATATTATCAAAAAACGACTTTAAGATAACGCATTAAAACAATCACAAAAATTAATAGCGTAAAGCTTGAGACAAGTAACAGAAACTTGGCTGGAAAAAATAAATAAATTGCAGTAGCTTCAAAATAGTTGATATGCACTCACCTTCAATTGGAGGAATTTGAAATTTTAGTCCGTAACGATTTCTATACCATCAACTCCACCCCTTACCCAACCATTGTTGTCATCTTCTAAATCACGAATATTTTCTAAGATAGTTAAATCAGTTGTATCACACTGCATTGATGAGTCAAGTTTTTTACTATTTTCTTCTCCCATATCAAAAATGTCTCGCGGTTTAATTGACCTAGGGACAAACTATTCATGATCTTCAGGATCTTGAACAAATATCACTTGCTGAGCTTGTCCAGCAAAAACAAATGGCTCATCACTTATCCGGTCACCTGAATGTATTAGATGTGAGAAGTTCACAAGTGTGAAACCTAAGTCGTCTTTCATAACTCCTCGACCTTGAGTTACATCAACCCAATCACATTTAAACAAGACGACTTTAAATTTTTCATAGTAGTTCAACTCAACAATATCATTCAGTCTGCCATAATATGTAATATTTCCTGATTTTGGAGCACTGTCACTAGTACTTGCATAGCTCTCTGTCATTGAGACAACCAGAACCCCACTATTTTGTGTCTGCATGAACTCTTCATACTGTTTTGTACGAAATCGATACCCATTATTCATATGGAATGCCTTGAATCTTCTTGCGAAGTAACATGGACCTTGTGCAAGGGCTTTAATATCATTTGAGATATTAGATATGAGATCCAACTTTTTGACCTGCCCAAAGAGCAATAGACAACTGTAGTTACAAATATTAGTACAAGAGACGATACTTTAAAGTAGGTGACTATTGAATCTTACTACTTACTTTCTCCTTGAACCATTCATGAAAATTTTCAAAATGCAAGCGATTAAGCTGTGTTGGGTAAGGCGGCGTTTGCGATGCAATCGTTTGATTTCACTAATATGCTCACTCATATTGTCCCAAGCAACGTTGTCTTGCTCTTAACTAGTGATGGAAGGCTCACTATGCAAGTAGGTAGCCAGGAAATCTCTGTCATCAATCTATCTCGAGCCATTGCTTGAGCTTCCGTGCTGGACACGAAAGACTTTGTGCTCTATGATTTAGATCGCAATGTCATTTGGTGAAGTTTTGATAATCCAACAAACACAATTTTACCTGGTCAACATATATCAGCTGGACAAGAGCTGTTCTCGAGTGCCAGATGATTTATTCGGGATTTTCTGCCTCAAAATGCAAAATGATGGGAACCTTGTTCAGTACCCTGTCGATACAACAAATAGTGCCCAATATGCTTACTACGCAACAGACTTGCACAATTCCACTAATAGGCTAAGAAATCTAACCAGAGGAGGCTACGTAGAGAAAGGACCACCATCTATATGCTGAAAATCTAATACAAGTAGTGCTTAGCACAACACACAATGCACAGAATACAACTCTCGCAGCAAACTACAACACATTACAATCCTCATATATCACAATTTCAACACAAAACAATCATTATCATCCAATCACATTCAAGACAAAAGAATCAGAGCGCATCGGCATACCTTGAGGCGGTGACAAAGGGTTAGAAATCGATGGCGGACGAAGGAGACGGAGATGGAAACTACGAAGTCGAAGACGAAGAAGATGAAACTTCAGATCAATTTTGTGAGCTCAGAGCTGTCGCTTCAGATGGGAATGGAGAAAGAGAGATCGAAAATTTTGGAATTTGGGAATTTTGTGTAAGAAAAAGTATTTATTTTTATTGAATGAAATAGAATTTAGCTTTTTTATTAGATTTTTTAAGTAAGTGTCGTTAAAAAGTTTACTTTTACCGGCTAATGGTCAATTGCCCCTAAATAATTAGGTTTAAAACATATTTAGCGGCACTTATATTATTGCCATTAAATAATTGCCGCTAAAAGCTAACTTTGTGGTAGTGTAGATGTTGTGTCCTAGGCTTATGTGTGATATGGTGTAACCTATGAAAAGAATAAAGTAGTGGTTATCTTATGCATGTAAAAGTATGTAACATGAATAAAAGTGAGGCACACCATGTGAGCTTTACCAGTTGAATGTATTGTATAAGAGTAGCCTAGCTACTCATGATAATATTAATATTAATATTAATGTTATGTTAATTAATTGCATGGAGTACGTCTAACTTAAATATGACCACGATCCATGTACACTGGCGTGTGCATTTGAGAGCAACATTCTCATAAGTTGGAATTACTCATATTTACAATTTAAAAGCGGAAGTCCCTAAATTGTATAAAGGAAAAACTACCTAACTAGACATACAGTACTATCATATATACTAATATTACCTCTACTTTCAAACAATTACATATATTACCACTTTTAATATTTTATATCATATATTTTAAAAATATAATTAGATACACATCTCCCTTAAAATTAGAATTAGTTAATTATCCTTATATTTAAATATCAATCCATTAACATTAGTTTCTTTCACACTCAACAAGAATCCCATTCTGCCAATCTCCTTAGGCAACATGATCTCTCCTCCCCCGCCCCCCACCTACTCCATGAGCAAAAAGTTAGCATCGTCACCAATTTCAATGGTCGTACAGCAAAAAGGCCAGCAAGATCGAAGAAAAGTTGAGCATATCCATCAATTGGAGGGGTTCTCAATTTACTCAGTATATCTAAAACTGAGAAAAACGGTAGAGAACATCAAACTTGAAACTTTGAAATTGAGCATTTGTATTAAATTCTCAAATTGTCCACTTTATCTAACAAGATTTTGACGTTTTCTAAAGTTGATTTGGAGGCTCCAAACAATGTTGAAACCAAAATGAAATTGTATAAAATATAATCAACTAGTTAATGTCTGCTTCACAGAAAACTTAAGCAAGTCCCATATAGGAGAATACTAAGGCGACGATAGCACTGAGGAAACCGAAGAAGGAAACCACTTCATAGCCACTGAAAGCAGACATTTTTTCGATTGGATATCAGCTACATAGAAAAATATTTTAAATACACAAATTGAAAAGATCATATACCTTTAATCGTTAAGTACATATTGATATCCTTCACTACAGTGATGATCCGGTTGAGTGATCCTTCGATCCAACACCCGATCGTGAACAAAAGTAAAAAGTACGAAGTGAGAGAGATACATAAAAGAATTTATATCAGATACATAGAAGAAGAGTTTGGATACATAGAATGAACATATTAGATACATCTAATCATTAAAGTTATATATCAGATACATAGAAGAACAATTCAGATACATAGTCAAATACACAAAAAAAATTGATTTTTTGAAATTTTCTAAAGTTTTTAAACACATGATTTTCTTCTTAATTTATTTAAATACACTTAATTATATATATCTAATTAATATGTATCCGAGATATATGTATCTAAATGCGCCAGATACACGTATCCAAGGTGTGAATTGTGGTAGAATTGGTAAAATTGTAAACTCATGGGAAAAGGGGTAATTAGCTTCTAAACTAGTGTGATTTGTGTTGTTTACCCTTGTATAAATGAGATACATTTGGGCCTTAATTGAAAAAATGAAATAGACTTAATCAATTTCCAAAGTCCAAAATGAAATTTGAAATATAATGTATGTATTTTATTTTATTAAGTATGTCTATTAACTTGTGAATCCTAACAAAATTGAATACAAGAAAGAGCCAAATCAAAATTGACGCTAAATTTCAAATCGGAAGTTGTTGGGTTGAATTTCAAGGAATAAAATCAGGTATGAAATTCTGAACTCGTTAAAGATGATGAATGAGATTGGGACTAATATTATGTTGTAGCCTTAGATTTGAAATTCCAAATTGGGGGAATAATCTAACTCCCAAAGCTTTCAAACAATCAAGCAAACTTGTTGCCCTTGAGGTGTTTGCTCAATTGTCTAAAGACATAATACATAAATGTGCCCTTTAACTTGACTTCATTTAACATTTATACCCTCCAACTTTGGGTGTCCACAAGTAGACATTTAAACTTGTATAAAGTTGAATAAGTAGATACATTATGTGACATAATACACATAGGACACCATGTAGGACACAAATTATCATGTAGGATGCCACGTAAGACGTGTGTGTCTATTTGTTCATTTTTATACAAGTTTGAATATATGCTTGTGCATACTCAAAGTTGAAGGGCAGAAATGTAAAATGAGACCAAATTAAAGGGCCTATTTATGTATTATGCCTTGCCTAAATGAGTCTCTCAAATCTTATATTATGATGCTAGTATAGATCGAAATTCCGTTATTCAATATTGAGAGTTCTATTTACATTGTTAAAGTTAAAAAGATGGAAAAAAGTAAAGGTATTAGGCCAAAACCACTGTACAAATTCAAGACCAAAGAGGTATACATGCCCATCAATTCTCTATGTTATGAAAGACATAACGCTATAACTTATTTGAAGCTAACTATTATTGCAAATGTTTGTTACACATGAGATGATTTGGAAGAAAAGTTTCTAATAAGATCTTCCTCAACACGCAAGAAGTTGAATCTTGATCATCTTTAACCTTCCCACAACGTCTTTCATGTCAATCCTTCCTTTAGGAGATTCAACACAACAATCTATTGCCACTTTCATGATGGATACCACACAATCTAGCTTTTTCATTAAGTGATTATCATGTGGCGATATTAAGTTGGCATCGACAATTTCCATTGCTGCTTGTGGGAGTGAATTTCTCACCCATTGTTTCAAACTAAAATCTCCATCGAACATTTCATCATTAGGATTTTTCCTAGTAAATGTTTCCATCAACATGATCCCGTAACTATAAACATCACATTTTATTGACAACAATCCCTCCAGTCCATACTCTGTAATCAATCAATTTTGAAATTCAACATTTACTAGTGGAAAAAAGGAAAGAGAAATAATCAAAAGCAATTGATTAAGAGATCACGTACCTGGTGCAATATAACCAAACGTTGCTAATGTTTTAGTGTATAAAGAACTCTCATCTTCAGAAAGCAGCTTTGAAATTCCAAAGTCACTTAGGTGGGCAACCATGTCCTCATCCAACAAGACGTTACTAGGCTTCAAATCACAATGAATCACGGGCAATGGGCAACCATGATGGAGATATTCCAATGCACATGCTACATCTATCATTATACTTAGCCTATGATTGATGTCTAAGAAGTAGTTGTGTGAATACAACCACTTATCGAGGCTCCCATTGGGCATGTACTCGAGTATTAAAGCCTTAAATTCAAGGTTGGAACAACTGGTGATGACTTTGGTGAGATTCCTATGACGAAGGTTGCGCAAAACTTGACATTCTGTATCAAAACTCCTAAATGCCACTTGCAATTGTGGGTTGAACACTTTAGCTGCAATGAAAGTCCCATCTCCAAGGATGCCTTTGTAAACAGAGCCGAAACTCCCAGAACCAATTAAATTGATCTCACTGAGTGAATCAGTTGCTCGAAGCAGTTCATAGTATGAAATTCTTCCTTTTGTTGAGACGACAAAGGATGAATCAACTGCTTGCTGAGGATCGGTTCTTTTACCTCTTGTATTCCTTATCCATAAAAGGGCAAAGGCGATGGAGACTAATACAAGTGCACCCGGTAGAACAAGAACAATCACTTTTTTCCTCTTGGATTTATGCTTTGATGTGCTACTGTGGCATGGGGGAACACAAAATCTTGGAGATCCACACAATGCTTCATTAGACATGAAAGACTCACCGGAGAGGTTCTCGAAAGGACCATTCGAGGGGATTTCACCAATCAACTTGTTGAATGAGATGTTGAAATACTTGAGATATAGAAGCTTCTCCAAAGACTTGGGAATCAATCCTGAAACATTGTTATGAGAAAGGTCTAGAAATTCCAAAGCTGAAATGCTGCTCATCGAGCCAGGAATTGATCCTTGCAATTTGTTGTCTCTCAAAGAAAGGTATATAAGATTTTGCAAGCTACCAATTTCTTTAGGAATTCTATTTGAGAGTGTATTTATTGATAGATCCATATATATCGCAGCCTTTAGATTTCCAATTTCCAGAGGTATAGAGCCACCCAAGTTGTTTGAGGATAAGTCTAGCTTCAAGAGGTTTATGAGGTTTCCTAAGCTTTTTGGAATGATTGAACGCAATTTGTTGGAACCTAGAATCATCTCCCGAAGGGAAGTTAAGTTTCCCAAACAATTCGGAAGAGATCCTGAAAGTTGATTCAGAGTCAAGTTTAAATAACCCAAGTTCTGTAATTTGCATAGATCATCTCCAATATATCCAGAAAGTTTGTTGACACTCAACTTCAAGCTCTGAAGGGATCTCAAGTTGCTGATTGTTGTGGGAATTGGTCCAGTGAAACCGTTTCTAGAAAGATCGAGCTCTAATAAGCTGCTTAAGTTCCCAATTCCTTTTGGAATTTCCCCCTTAATTTTGCAATCAATAGCTCTAAACCTTAGAAGAGAAGTACTGGAAAGGTTCCCTATGGATTCTGGAAGCACACCATATAGAGGGTTCGAAGAGAGGAAAAGAATTTTTAAATCTCTACAATTTGACAAGGAAGTCAAGAAGCTTAACCTACTATCGCCCATTAAATTGTTTATTGCCAAGCTTAGGGACTGTAGATGAGTCAAACTTCCGAGAGAGTTGGGAATCATACCGGTTAGTCTATTGAGGGAAAGGTCTAGACTAGTGAGTTTGGAACAATTGGAGAGAGAATGAGGTATAGTCCCATAAAGATTTAAGTTGCCCAGATGAATAACTTCAATGTTGGGTAACGTTGAACCTATGTTTAATGGGAGAGTTCCTGTCACATTATTGAAAATAACTTGAATCTCTCTCATACCCGATATGTTGAAAATCTCCATTGGTAGTGAACCAGTAAACTTGTTGAAACTAAGATCAAACCGCTCAATGTGATTGCTAAACTTTTTCGGTATCTCACCTGCCAATGTATGTATATGTATAGTTAGTAATTACTAAGATTTAAGAAATTATGTTGCTAGCTAGTAATGATTTGAATACATATATACCTGTAAGATTATTATCGGCAAGATCTAGAATTTGCAATTCTGTCAAATTGCTAACCTCCCTTGGCAAGGATCCAATCAGATTGTTGTGATTCAGTACCAAAACCTGTAATGAGGAGATATTGAATGTGGAGATTGGGAAATGACCAGAAATATGGTTAGTATCCAGTGCTAAAATCACCAAATTATTAAGAATCCCGATTTCACTATGTATGGGTCCGTCAAACTTGTTATTAGATAAAGACAATATTTGAAGGTTCGAACAATTTGGCAAGCTTACAGGCATATGACCATATAGCTTGTTGTCACTTAGATAGAGCATTTCGAGCATTGGAAGACAATTACACATATCATAAGGAAGATTTCCTGATAAGGTATTATTTGTAAATGCAATGATCTCAATTCCAGAAATGTTGAAGATCGAGAATGGTATAGAACCTGTAAGTTGATTGGATTCTATTGACAAAAGTTTTAGGTTTTGAAGTTTTCCAATCTCTTCTGGAATGTTTCCTCCAAGGAAATTGTGAGATAGTTCTAATGTCATCAACATTGAGGCATTCGAGAGAGACGGAGGGATAGAACCTATAAACTTGTTGCCAGATAATCTTAAAACCCTCAGGTTTTCAAGATTTCCTTTTTCTTTTGGTATTTGGCCCTCTAAGGAATTGTATGTCAAATCCAAAGTTTGAAGTGTGGAAATATTAGAAAATAAAGAGAGGGTGATGGGACCATTGAAACTGTTATTCCTTAGAGTCAGAACTTGAAGTTGGTGTAAGACCCCGAACCAGGAAGGAACCTCTCCGCTAAAGTTGTTAAAACTAAGTTCAACAAACCTTAACCTATGAAGATGTGCCATTTCTTGAGGCAATTTTCCGTAGAAATTATTGCTACTCAAGTCAAGAGAAACAAGTGATGTGAGATTCCCAAAATCAGAAGGAATTTTGCCTATAAGATCCAAGTTGGAAATATTCAATGACGTCACTCTTTTGTGGTGAGAACCACAAGTGACTCCAACCCAATGACAAACAGAAATAGCTGGAGACCAACTTTCATCCAACAAGTGAAAGGGATCCGAAATGATTTGGAATTTCAAGGAAAGAAGAGCGGATTGATCAGTTGTAATGTTGGTTTGAGTCATGGCTAAACTAGCCACACCCAAGTAAAGCAACATGAGTGCTATTAAGTAAAAATATGTGAAGACTTTCTCCATTATATTATAGAAATTAAAACTTTAGAAATTAGAAAGAATTAGGTGTGGCTAATTACAATGAGGTTCAGAGACTTAATATAGGTAGAAAGAATCAGTTGATCTCTTTTTGGTCTTTATTGTCTTTTTTAATTTTGTGGAAATCTCCAATCTGATTTGACAGGTTGAAGGGAAATTCTTTGTTTCACAATTAGGTAATTATTCTTTCCTTTGGGAGACTTGACTCTGTCACACAAGTCTTGCTTTTTTTATTTTGAGGCTTTCGCACGATCACCCATTGGGCAAAATTTTCATTGTGTAATAGCTTGTAAACTATACAGAGAATGTAAATCGCACTAAGCATGTCATATGTGACAAGCTCGATTCAAAAGACATCGTGGGGATTGATCCAAATATTACTTTAATTTTTGATGATTTTGAAGTAAATAATCCAAATTTAGTTCATAGATATTTATTTTCATAACGAATAGAGGCGTAGCCATATGTAGTGAAGAATTGTCAACCGCTGAACACTCTTTGTGGAAAACTTTTACTATGTATATAGAAAATTGTATAAAGTATATAAGTCAAAAATAATTTTTCAGATGTATATATTAAATTTTGAACACTCTTAATAAATTTTTGACTTCGTCACTGATAATGAAATTTATGTCTTCGTCACATCATGCCCTTAATTTTTTTAATTTTATTTTAGGCCAAGAATTAATTTCAAGAGTCCCTATCTATTTCTCCCATTAAATGAAGAAATTACCCCCCTACCATTCATACTCATTCACACAAAATTCTCCATTCTGCACCTACTCCTACGTTATAAAGGTTATTGGTTTTTCTTACCCTAAAATCAAGTAATTAACTTGATATTCTTATAACAAAACTTCATGATTTTAATGAATATTTGAGGATTAACATTTTTTTTTAACTATAACATTTTCTTACCCCTTTTGTTCCTCAAATCATGAAATCAGTGTACCTTTTAATTGGTAAAACAGTTATTTATCGAGTAAATATTACGAACACGGGGGAGTTAATTTTCCAACTAAAATAACTTAGAAGTTTGTGTTAAGTTGGATGTTTTCTTTGTCACAAAAAAAATCAAAATTTACTTTATTGTGTTGTTTTATTATTTTGAATGATCATTTAAATAAGAAAAAATATTCAAATATGCCATCGAATTTTGAAAAAAGGTTCATTCTTGTTCATCTATGCTATCTATTAAAAGTTTTACTCATCTATACTATTTTCTTTTGAGAAAAGGCTATCCATGTCATTATTTGTAAACTAAAAATATTTTTGGTTTTGGAAAACTACTTTGTACACGTGGTCAATTATGATTCTGTCACATCATTAATTAAACTATTTTTTAAAAGAGAAAAGACTTGAATATGTCATTAAACTTTAAGAAAAGGCTCATCTATGTCATTCCGTTAAAAGTTTAGCTCATCTATGTCATTTCAGTTAACAAATAATGACATGAATGTGCCTTTTCTTAAAAAATTGACATAAATAAATCAAACTTTTAACAAATAATATAAATAATTTTTTTCTCAAAATTCAATAACATATTTCAGTCTTTTTCTAACCAGTGAAGAGACGGAGCGCTGACGCCCCAGTGAGGAGGTGCGAGGTAATGATGGTAGAGGGTACGCGGAGGGGTAGAGGTAGGCCCAAGAAGTATTGGGAGGAGGTGATTAGACAAGACTTGGCTATGCTTCACTTTACCGAGGACATGACTTTAGATAGGAAGGAGTGGAGGTCTCGTATTAAGGTTGTAGGTTAGTAGGGCTAGCGTGTTGTCTTCCCTTGCAAGGGGATGGGTTGTTAGCATTTGGAGTAGACCTAGCCTTATGTTGTTTACTGCGTTTCACGCATCGCATTACTTTCTTGTTGTTACTGTCTCATTTGTTGATTATACGCTATCGTTTGTATTGGCTGTTATGTTTTATATATATCTCTCATGTCACTTAGATTTGTTGTTCTTGAGCTGAGGGTCTCCCGGAAACAGCCTCTCTACCTCCACGAGGTAGTGGCAAGGTCTGCGTACAATTTACCCTCCCTAGACCCCACCTAGTGGGATCTCACTGGGCATGTTGTTGTTGTAGTCTTTTTCTAACCAGAAACATATGAGAATTCAAAGTCATCCACAAATTTCTACAAAGGTTTTCCCACCACCATGTTCACCAATGAAACCGTCAATAAGAGTGAACACCCTGTAAACATATTAAACCAAAGTTAATAAATAGTTAATAAGAGGAAAGTTAATAAATAGTTAAGACTACAAAAATAATGAAACTATTTATTTAATGTTTGACTAATTATGTAGTTACGATTTGAGTAGCTATTTAGATTACAATTTATATAATTCGCTTGATTATTAAGTATTTATATAAATAAGACTTTCAATTTAATTAATGATAGACTTAACAATTTTTTTAAAAACTCACCAATTAAGAAAAAAATTCCACGAATCACTCATTATATTTATATCAATTGATTTTCTGTTTGTATTTTTCTTGTTTCAAAATTATATGGAAATCAAATTGAATTGTATTTGTATCGATTGATTTTCTTCCAAAATTACAATTAATTGATTTATAATTGTATCGAGTTGTTTTCTTTTTGTATTTTTACAAAATACGAATATCCATTTGTTCAATTTTATACAAGTATAAGCGCCTACTTGTGCACGCACCCCATAGTTAAAAGTCATATTTGCCAGTTGAAGTCAAGGTAAGAATATAATCATGTTTATGTATTGAATATATGATTCAATTGAAACGATTCACATTTACAACACATCAAATTCTAAAATTGAGCTTTGAAAAAACTTTAACTACATTATATTAGAGGATGTGAGGGAAGAAAGAGAAAAAAGAAAAAGACTAAAGTGTATATATTATTTTGGGTAAAAATTTTGAATGCCAAATGTGCATTTGGTCCAATTTCCCCATAAAGTAAGCCTAACAGTAATAAGTTTAGCATGCTAGTAAGTAGTAATTGGCATAATACCTTTAACTTTGTCTTATTTCACATTTATGCCTTTCAACTTTGAGTGTGTACAAGTAAACATTTAAACTTGTATAAAGTTGAACAAATTGACACACATCCTACGTGGCATCCTACATGACAATTTGTATCCTACGTAGTGTCCTATATGAATTATGTCACATAAGGCTCATGTGTCTACTTTTTTAATTTATACAAGTTCAAGTGTCTACTTGTGCACATCCAAAATTGAAGGACATAAATATGAAATGAGACCAAGTTAAATAACACATTTATGTATTTATGCGCTAGTATTTTTTTTTTTGGTAAGTAAGCATTTTATTACCAAAGAGAAGTTTACAACTCCAAAAAAAGAAAAAAAAAGAACTATTCCGATTAGATCGAACCCAACTAATAACTTTTCATCTCCTAACCATCTATCGACTACTTTAACTTGGATAGTAGTTCAACATCGTCAAGTATTTAGTTAATTTCACTTTGAGACAACCTCTGAAATATACGTCTTGAATTATTCTCTTCACAAGGTTCAATATTTCTCTTCTTTTACCTTGAAAAACAATTTGGTTCCTCTCTTGCCACATATAATAGATGCAGCCTATTAAGGCCATTCTATAAATTGTTGTTGTAGCACTATTCCCATTATGATGATTCACTGCCAATGTAAGTTCTTCTGCCCATGTTTTTGCTTGTCGTCTCTGTCCTAGCCATTGTAGTAGCTTGTTCCACACTGATGCTAAAACAGAGCACTGAAAAAAAAGGTGTGAGATCGACTCATTCTCTGATCACATAAAGGGCATACTGGATTGACACTCATTCCCTAGTGAATTATCCTATCCTTCGTGTACAACCTTCCATGAGCAACCAACATCATAATGAACAACCATTTCGGGGCAGAAGGGGTATTGCAAACTAATTTCTTCCATCTTACTTTTGGAAACACTCCTTGCACCAATTGGTACATCTTTTTTACAGAGAAATATTGCAATCTTTGGAATTGATCTTCTGTGTAACCAGCAGCTTCCATGTACTCCATAGCTTTGAAAATTTTCTTGATAAGCCAAGATGCTTGTTTTGTATTGGCCTCCCATAGAGTTCCGCCCTTTACATAATACATGTGAACCCATTTAACCCATAACTTATCCTTTTTATGGCTAAGATTCCACAAGACTTTGCAAATAGCAGCCTTGTTCCAAGCAGAAATATTGAGAAAGTTCACTCCGCCTGCAGTCTTAGGCATACAAAGTTTGTCCCAAGCTAGAAAAGCTTTCTTTGAAACCTCCACTCCCCCTGTCTAGAGGAAAGTTCTGCAAAAATTTTCAATAGCCTGAACTAAATTCTTAGGAAGCAGAAAGATTTGAGACCAATACACTTGAATGGAGAAGAGAACACTTTTAGAATTTGTACTCTCCCAGCATAAGAAAGAAATTTAGAGGTCCAAGAAGTTACTCTTCTGATCATTTTCTCTATTAGGGGTTGGCATTGGACTAGTGAAAGTCTTTTAGTGCTTAAGGGCACCCCTAGATATCGAAAAGGTAGATCATCTTTAGTCACTCCCAAAGCTTCAATGATCTGATATTGTAATTGTGTGACCCCTCCGAAATAGAGAGATATTTTCTGTAGGTTTGCAACTAGACCAAAGGCCGAGGAGAATTGTTGGAAACAATGGAACAAGAGTTGGGTAGATTGCACGTCCCCTCTACTAAAGAGTAGTAGATTGTCAACAAATCCAAGTTGGATTATTTGTAATTTAGCACACTTGGGATGGAATTTGAACCCCGGGTTTCCTTTTAACCCTTTCAGAAGTCTACTGAGGTACTCCATAGTAAGAACAAAAAGAAAAGGTGACAACGGATCACCCTGCCTCAAGCCTATTTTTGCCTCAAAGGGTACAATGGGTTGCCCATTTACAAGGATAGAAAATGAAATTGATAAGTTCTTATACCCCTAGATGTTTTGATGATCTCCTCACAAGTGCAGGGACCTGGTCCTCTGCAGAGTACGAATACTCGTCCAGCTATCAAAGTGTTG